GCAGCCCTCTTGCCACCTCTTACGTGGTGGATGATGTTTGTGGTATTTATACTTTAAAAGATCAAGCTGGGATTGATGTCAGCCCTTCAAGATAGGCCAGGTCCACAAAGAGACTCCAAGTTTGACCAACTGGAACTCTCCTTTATTGAAACAGGCCCCCAAATCTTGAAAGCTGGGCTGAGCTTTCACTCCCCTCCCCTCCCCTCCCCTCCCCTCCCCCCTCCTTCTACCCCAGTGAATCAGGGTGGACCCAGCCTGAGCTCTTTCTCATGCTTTCTCTGTTTCCTGGGCTTAAAGCATGCTTTGTACCATCTCCGCATAGCTCCTTCAAGACCATTTCTGCGGCTCTCTACAATTGGTACAAGTATGTTGCAACTTAACTCAATGATGGTTTATACTTTATCCTGCATAAATCTGCCTGCAAGTTAAGTCACAACTAGAAGCAAAATGTAAATCCAGTGTTTCTATAAATGCTTCTGCTTATCCAGACTGACTGCTGCTCTATCTTAAAACAAGTGCAGGGGCTCATTAAATCTTTGGTGGGCATCAGATGAATGACACGTAAAGCTCCGCTTGCTTGAACTGACGTCTGAGTTGTGACTTGGATTCTGGCCAAGGTTTGTGAGCCTTCGGGAGAGCTCCCTTAATAGTCCACAAAATAGGCAGACGAGGTTGCCCATTGCCACGTGTCCTGATACGCCTTTTGGTGCCTTTCCTCGTTCAACTATTACGTTATCCACTCCTGCAGCATGGCCCTAATGCTGTGGTTTTCCCTGTAAATGGCACCAGAAGGAAAGGGTTGTTAAGCCTTGCCTTAACTCGATCAGGAATGGCCAAAGGGGATCAATGGCTGCCTTGATTCAATGAGGGGAAGGTCTTGCAGCTGGGCTGATCCCCTTTGGTAGGGTTTTCACCCTTGGTGTCAAGATATTCCATACAGGTGGGGTCACTCTTTAGCTATACAGGTAGCCCTCACTTAGCAACCACAATTGGGACCGACAACTTAGTCATTAAGCAAAGCAGTCCCAAAGTGAAACCACAACCCTGCCTATGATCTTACTTCAGCTTTCCCTTGCTTTACAGACCTGAGAAGGTTGTAAATGTGAGGATTGATTGTAAAGTTACTTTTTCATCACCACTGTAAGTGCAAATGGTTGCTAAATGAGGCAGTTGCTAAACGAGAACTACTTCTACCAACAATGTCATATTGGCCCCCATATCAGGACTTGAAGTTCTCCCTGTTTGTCCCCTGTATCCTGAGCACTAGGTGCAGGCATGGGAGCTCTCCAATGCTGCCCTGGTTAGGTCTGACTGCTGTCTCTCCTGGTGTGTTCCTGAGTGCCCTTCCCTTCTCCCCACTTAATTCCTTATAGGAGGTTCCTGGCCTTCAGCCTTCTGCTTCAAGTGGGGCTCGGGGGACTGGTGTCCCTCCCCCTCCAGATTAAAGCCTGGTAGATGACCTGAGCAAAACCTCTTCCAAGCACCTTCTGTCCATTCTGGCCGAGGTGCAGCCCATCTCTCACCAGACGCCCTTCCTGTGGATAGTGCAGGCCTCAGTCCAGGAACTGAACGCTTTGTTGGAGAGGCCATCCCTCGACCCAGCAGTTCTCCTCAGTCCTCCTTCCCAACCAGAACAGGAGCCTTCTCTGTTCAGCCCTCAAGTGTCCAGCCTTGGTGAAGAGGAGAGGAGCCCAAAGGCATGGGAAGGATCTGCTTGAGAAAGCATACATTGTGACCTCCTGATGCTAGCTCTGCTCCAGGTACTGGCGTGTGCAAAAGTGTGGGAAGAGAGTCCATTGCTACCTTGCAACGCACGCTTTCTCATTTGCTCCCTCTCGGATGCCCAAAGGTGGATGCTGAAGGAGGGCTCAGCTGGACCTGGCAGGGCTACTGAGGGGGAACTGGAGGGAGCCAGGCCTGATCGGGGGTGGGGGGAGTGTCAGAGCAGCTTGGATTTGGCAAGGTTGCTGGAGGGCTGTCCCCTGTGAGGGCCTCCGCGGGCTGCTTTAGAATACCTGGATCCTTGGAAGTGAGACCTTGGGCCCGCCTGCACCCCCCAGCACTGGAGTGGCCAGCTGACCAACCCCAGAGGACCAGCCCCACCAGAGCCTCCGTCTGGGGGCCCACCTGCTGCTGAGACGGCGGGAAAGGGGGGTTGGACAGCATCCTATGCCAACAGTGAAACAGTATCCAAAGCAGTGAAAAGTCATCTGGGGCAGCACTTTGGGGGGAGAGCTGTTCCTCCTATCTCCGGGAGGATGGGTCTCAGTGCTCCTTCTCCTGCCCACACCTTTGAATGCTGCCAGCTCCACAGTTTCTCGTGTGTTCTGTGTGGAACTTGGACTGAAGTTACAACCATTTGCTGCACCCTTAAATCCGTCGGTGGGGCGGCCCAAGTTCAAGCTGACCTTCCAAAAGGCGTGGGCCCCATGCGCTCCCAGACCTCACCAGGAAGGGCCATCGGGAGGGGGAAGCCCCCAAAAGGCAGCGCGGGCAGGGGCGGAGGAGGGAGTGGGTGCAATCGGCATTCTCAGCAGAGGGTCTATGCCCAGGATTGCACGGGAATGCAGGAAAGAGGCCCCGCCAAAGGAGCCAGGAGCCCACCTCCTGCCCCCAGGAAGGACGACTCCCTGCTCTGCCCGGTTTGGTGGCCTGCCTCCCTGGCGGCGGGGGGGGGTGAGGGGAGGGAGGGGCAGAG